GCTCAATAAATCTTTAGTTCCGTGGCCTCCCCTCGTGGAGTTGTTGAAGGAGAAAGCTTTTTGCAAATGACTGGAAAGCCCTTTGCAAATATAAAGTGCTTATTTAGATGCAAACTAAAAACCCAAGGTGCCTGTGACTCATCTGGTACCTATTGTGCTCCCTGCAAAGGCGCGGAGGCTTGCTTGTATGATGGGTGCCATTTGAGAGCCACTTAAAGAACTCCCTGGTGAATGAATTTGGTTGCATTATTTCCGGGCTCCTCTTGGAGGACTCTAATTTTCACCGCCTGGTTGTGTCCCCGTCTTCTGACACATTCCCAGCCGTCTCTGAGTTAGCGCTGACCCGGGATGCAGTGGGAGGGGGCTGACCTGCTGGGAAGGCTGGCCACGGTGTGGGGGCCTGCACCGCGGACTTCCCGCTCTGCTTTTTAAAAAAGAAAAGGCGGCTTTAATCCAAGCATCCAGAGCTGTGCCTCAGAATCTAATGACAATAGTATTACTTGCTTTCAAAAACGCTTTTATCATTTCCTTTTCTTTCCTATCTCCTACCTCCCTGTTATTACAGATCAGGGCTTCATGACCAAAAAATCCTGAATCCATTTGGTCAAGTTTGTCAGACTGATGACTGGTATTGTGTGAAGACCAAAGGTCTGTGTGAACGACTGCATTTTTAATGAACTGACCAGCTAGCTGGCATCTCATGAACAGATTTTAATACTGTGTGAAGGATAATGGCGGTGTTTTTTCTGAGGGCTATTTTCATTCCTAGAATAGGCAAGGGCCTCCATTTTGAGGTGTGAGGAGGATTGGTCCATACTGAAATACAAGCCCAGAGAAGTATCCTTCTCCCCTGGGAACTAAGGCTAAGCTGGTCCCTTTGGGTTTCAAGCATGTGGGGGGTCTTCCTGGATGGGACAGAGGCTGATTCACATTTTATTGTTGGTTGTGTTTGAAGTGGAGGAAGAGAAGCAATATGATAAGCATGGCTGCCGCCAGGAAAATGGTCCTCTGGTGCAAATTAGAGAAAGATGCCTCTTCCTGGCTGGCAAATTGCAAAATGTCATCTTCTCATGGCTGACTCAGGGCTTGCTTGGCAAACCGAGTGCTGGCTGAGTTCTGTTCCCCACCTTTCCGCAGGGCACCTCCTCCTCAGCCTTTCCCACAGCTCCTGTGTGTGTGTGTGAAGGTGTGTGAAGGTGGGTGAGAGCATGGAGGACACAGACACTCGGAGAAGGCAGAGAGGAGGGCTGGGAGGGAGTGTCCCAGCCCCTCGCCTAGACTTTCCCTGTGCCCTCTTCTCCTTCCATCCAGGGCTAACCTTCCCCCACCCTCTCGTGTCTTTTCTGAAGATTCTTATTTGTCTTAGGAACCGTTGGCTGCCCTCAGCGAAGGACCAGTGAATTCAGTTCAGTCTTTTGTTTAAAGATTGTATGGGCACAGCAAAGAGATGCACTGGTGATAAGGATTTAGGTCTGATGTAAGAATCTGGGGTGCTGGAGGCTGCACCAATTGCAGCCCAGTATTTCCTTAAGCGATATATAGTCTTCAAACAGGTACTAAAAGTCCAGAAATTAAGTAACAGGCTTAGATGTTAGAGCTAAAAATGTTACAAGATCCTTATCATTGTTTTCTTTCTTTCTTCCCTTTTTTTTTTCCTGAACTTTTGTTTTGAGACAGGGTCTCCCTGACTAACTTGTTCAGGCTGGGCTCCAACTTGGGATGCTCCTGCCTCAGCTTCCTAGGGTTCCTGGGTTACGGCAGTGTACCACCAAGTGGGCCGCCTATCTCTCCATTTTCTAAAACAATTTTATTGAAATATTCACATGCCATACAAGCCTCTGGAATGTATAATTTAATTTTTTTTGTTGTATTTACAGAATTACACAACCATATCCTCTATTTTTAAACACACTCTTTACTGGCATTATTTCCAGAATTGTGGACATGTTCTTTAATTTGCCTTCTCAGTTGGAGAGCTAATCAAGTGATACAATAAAAACCCTCCAGTTGGTTGCTTGGTTTGCAACACCCCCACCGGAAAGAGTTTCCACATTCACTCTTTGGCTATTTTTCAACACTCCCATTTCGGTGTAGAGGAGAAATTTGGGGCACTGCTGTCCAGGGCCTGACACTGAGCTGTGTGAGCAAAGGCAGCTGGCTATTCTACGAGAGTTACGAGAAGGAGCGCGCCGTGCTGGCTCATGGCTGACAGAATCACACTGTAGGAATTTAGAAGGATTTTATGGGAAAGGCGGCCACTGGGACAGTGGTTCGGGACAGACTCCGAACATGAGAAGGTAGGTCTTAGGGAAGCCCAGAAAGAGAAGAGGCTAGAAAGGTGAACTGAGGCCATGTGGTGGAAAATCTTGAATCCCAGACTGTAAAGATAATTTTAACTTTCATTCCATAGATCAAGGAGACACTGAAGCATTGTGAGTAGGACAGTGGACATCAGGGCTATAGTCCTGGTGGGCCAATTCTAATGACGTGAAGGACCAGTCAGTATGCTGTGGGGGCTTCGGGGAGAGGTCATGGAAGTCTAAAATAAGAAGGGTCAGCAAGTAAGGAAAGAGAGACAGATCTGAAAGCATCACGAAAGTACAGTCTGTAGGCACAGATTGTCTGAGTGTGGGAGATTAGGAAGGCAGAGGAGGAGGCGTATAAAACCCAGTGTTCTAGGACAAAGATGGTGTCTGTGAGAGGTCATCAAATCCAGATGGTTTGGTGTTTTGATAGTTTGATTTTTAAACTTTTAAACAGCATTGTAGGAGCTATAACAGGATGTGCAGGCAGTAATGTGATCTGTATTTCAGGGGAGAAGGTAGGAATAGCTGGAGATGTGGTAAGTTTAACACACTATTAATTTGGAGTCAAATAGACATGAATTCAAATGCTGGCATGGTCCCAGACTAGCTGTGTGACTTAGGTAAGTTCTGCACAGAGATAACAATTATAATAGCACCTAAGAGTTGCTAAGGTGCAATGAGGTCGTGCATGTCAAAACTTAGCCCAATGTGGTAAATCTCAGTAAATAGGAGACCTTATTTGGAATCACCTCTTTCAGGTATCACCTGCACGGATAATATTATTGGAAAAAGAGAAGAGATGGGAAGAAGATGTTGAGGATTCGAACAGGTGGAAAGCTCTGGGCTGGCAGTGGAGGCCATAGGCTCCCCAGGGACCCCCAGGGATCTTTCTTTGCCTCAGGGTGCTTTCTTTCAGGCTCAGGAGGGCCAGAGTGGAAAGAGAAAAGGAAGACAAACAAGAGGGCCCAGGCCAAGGTCAGAGAGTTGGGGTACTTTTAAGGATAGAAAGTGAGATTGTTTTGTGTGGAACACAGACAGCAGAGCCAGAATCACAGAAATCCATTTCAGCAGGCCAACAGCAACTTTAAAAGTTTTACTTGTTTTTCTTAAACTCTATATGGGAAGTTGATAGATTATAGCCATGCTTTCTAAAATTTCTTTTCTCTTCTCTCCTGCCTGGAAAATACACTCATTCCTGTGCCTTTCTTTCTCCTACCTCTCCTACCCTCCTTCCCTCTCTTCACCAAAAAAGAAACAAACCAGTAAGACAAGTATAGAATTTCCTACCAACCAAGTCAGCTCACCTATGGAGCTCCCCACTTTCCTTCCAGTTACAAATCACAAAAACCCCCGAAGGAGGGTGGAAAAGCAAACCCAGAATCCTGTTGAGAAGGCTGGAGGAGAGGAAAACCTAGGAAATCTTACAGAATTACTATTTCTCTCCTGTCACATGGGCTTTTCTCAGACCAGAGTCTAAAAGAAAAAGGGGAAAGATAATGTCCCTGCAGCAAGTCCTACTTAGAGGTGGTCCCAGTGCCTCCCAGGCAAAGCTTGTGCCTCCCCCGTCCCGTTTGGGTCATCTCTCTCCCAGGGAGGAGAATCCCAGCCCTACCTGTCTATGCTGATGGCACAGAGGTTCAGGATGCTGGCTGTACACATCATGACATCCAGGGTGACAAAAACATCACAGCAAATGCGGCTGAAGTTCCAGATTCCACCTGTCACCTGGGTATTGGAGACAAGAAGGGTGTTAGTGTTTCTCTTAGCAAAGCGATGAAAACCCCGTCAATCTTTCTGGCTTCCCTATGCAGCTCAGCAGAGACACCGACACACTCTTTCTGCTCCTGTGATTACCATAGGGAGATGGACCCTGAGGGAAGACCAGGAGGTCCAAGCCGTGTTGCTAAAGAAAGGACAAATTCAGAGTGTTAGTGCTGGAAGAGATCTTCCAAATCAGTTAGTGCAGCGTTTCTCAGAGTGGTCCACAGTGGGGGTGCTCGCTAAAGATGGAGAATGCTGAATCCTCTGCAGACGTAGTGAGCCAGAATCTCCGGATCTGGGACCCATGAATCTTCACTTAAAAAGAAACACCTCTAGACATACTAAGGTTTGAAAATCACGGATCTGGTTCAAACTCAGGGACGCTCCTTGTGACTAAATGGTCAGTGGATGCATTTGATGCAATGCCTGCAGATGCATTTTGGCCCACAGATGCGCAGCTGGTAGTAAAAGAGTTTGGGTGACTGCCCAATGTGTGTTTTGTGCCAAAAATGCCTCTCTCAAGCTCCCCACCCAGTAGAAAGCTCACCATGTAACCAGGAAATAATTTAAGAACACATTTCTCATAAAAGATAACTCCAAAGAAAAAAGTCTATCTGACTTCAGATTTTAAAGCTTGAAAATACCCTGAGACAACATCTGTAAGAACTTACGTAAAATAAGTCTGTGCCAGTGTGACTGATTTTGATCCCTTACCTCTCATGTCCCAATGGCCAACGGAAAGGCTGGGTCCAGGGGACCGGGGAGGAGCCTGAGTTCTTTCTGCCACTCTCAGAACGAGGGAGGCTGGCCCTGACCTCTTGGCTTGACCCATGCGTTCCAAGCTCTATCACCTCCTCTGAGTAACGTTTATAAAAAGTCAGGGATTCAGGGAACCTAATTTACATTCTAGCACATTTCTGTTTTACTTCTTAGGCTTTTACATAACCTAATTGGACCGGGAAGGTGTGTCAGAGGAATTGTCACTTTCAGAATGTCCACAGAACTCCACTTATGGGCCCTGAGGCTTTGGGCGTTTGCCAGCTTCTTGCTGGTGAGGCTGCCGTTCTGGAGACCCTGGTTCTCAAGGAGAAACGTGTGAAGCTCTGCGCCTCAGGCTGTGGCTGTGTATTCCTGATGTCTCTCCTGAGCAAGCCCAAGGGCTATTTCAGAGGAAGGAGAATGGAAAACAGGCACTGTAGCCTCTGAGGTATCTTCTCCTGTACAACAGCTATGTGCAAAAGACAGTGCTACTCCACTGCCCAATTTTTTTCATCCAAGACTCCTCCAGTATGACCAGCTGTTCATCCCTGCTCTGTTCCAATAAAGCGGGGACCTGAAAGGCTGCCTCTTCTCTTTCCCTAACAATCCCTTTTCCTTGGAGTTATTTCCTTTTTAATCTCCCATGTTATGCCTATATTTGGTCATCTCCAGACTCTATTTTGAGATATGTTGACCAAAGATTTTTTTGTTTGTTTGTTTCAAAGCCATAATGAGCCGTTAAGACAAGTGAGGAAGCCATCGTTTTTGTTCACTTGGTTGTGGGTTTACTTTCTTTTAGCTCAAACATTTGGCTCTATGCAAACAAAGGCCTAAAATGAACTTATAGGAATTTTGAGAATGAGAAGCTTAAAAAGGAGACACAAGCATTCTGATCTAACGAGTCATAATCACAATGATTTAAGGGAGACAGGAGAATGAAAGATAGTGTTGCTTATTATTACATGGGACCACTGTGTGCTATAAATTCTCCCCAAAGTAGAATTTTATATACTAAATTTCATTTCCACATATGTCTACTGTGCAACTGTTTCTTAAATTGGTGACAAACTACTTTTTTGCATAATTGTGAGTGAGTGGGTGTGTTGGAGGTAGTAGAGGTGAGAGAGGATAGTTAGGACAACAGCCAACCCTGCTGCTTGCTGGGTGCTGATTCATTCAATCATGCAATCATAAAGCAAGTACTTGTGAAGCTCCTCGTACTCAGTCCATAAAAGGAGAGTATATTATGTGTGCTAAGAGGTTTTACAAAAAGTACTTGCAGGGTCTACTTTTGAAGATGTCACAAGATAACTAGAGAAGCAAGGTGTTCCTGAATACAATAAAGATCAGGATGAGAGCCTAATATTGTTAATACAAACTAGCATTTATTGAAAATCTACTCCACATGGGTCATCCACCCACCTGACCCATTCCAGGAATTTCTATAACTTTGATACTTCAGATCTTGAAAACTGAATTTGTTTCTTGCTGTATGTGCTCTTAGAGTTTTTGAAGAGTGTCTATGTCTAGTTTGATTGCAGATTAAATGACTGTTACTTAACCACCTGGATAATAGCAAGGATATTCACTTGTTTGCTTCAGGAGGGCCCAGGCATGCAAGTATATCTGAAAGATTGAATGGTGCCTGATACACTCTGCATTTGTACTAAGAGCTAACATCTATTGAACGGTTACTAAATGTCTGGTGTCTTGCTAAGCACTTTACATACATGACCTCCAATGCTGATTATAATCCCAAGAGAGGTCTCTGAAGAAATTGCATATATCTTAAAGAGTCAACAGATTGTTTGTCCTTGGCTGAGTTATTGAGACTCAATAATTGCAGGCTGAGACCAAAATTATCTTGGGCTATCCTTAGAACCTTTAGAAAAACAGCTATTTACTTTTAACCTTGCATCTGACCTAACAATCTCATGACTATTAGGTAAATCTCTTGGAATGTATCACTAAAGTCAGACAGCTCCAGCCTTCATCTACCCTAAAGGTAAGAATCTTGTATAATATTCAAAAGTTATAGACTATACATAGAAGAGATTTACCCCACCTGGCTGTAGCCTGCTCACCTGATGCCCCCACCAATACATTTGTTCAGTGTATTGATTCATGGCCTGCTTTGTTGTATGCTGCAAAATTTCATGTAACTTCTTCCACGGCAGAACATGTCATTCAGAGTGACTTGAATAAGTTCCTCGACCGTGGTCGCTCATTTTTGGCTCAGAATAAAATATTTCCTTATTTTCTATAAAGCGGAGTTGTTATTTTACATTGACAGGATTATCATTACCCTCATCACTGAGAAAGAAATTAAAACTTAGGTTCACACATTGTCCAAGGTCACATGGCTAGCAGAGGCACAAACATTAGAATGCAGATTATCTGTACCTGCTATGGGGAGGGACCAAGCAAGGAGAGATATCTATTAGAAAGAGATGGAAGCGAGTAGACACCACGGGAAAGAGACAATCAGGTGCTCATCGGAGATTTTTGTGTGACAGACGGTGTCATTTCCTTTCTGGAGAAGGAGAACTTGCCTGGTTGCCTTTATGTCAGGGTTACAAAAAACAGTGGAAAAGGCAAGGCGGGTTGCTGCCTTGGGGGCCTAAGAGAAAGAGCACACAGGGTGGATTTCTTTACTACCCCTCTGCTCAGCCCTTAGGAGCCAAAGCCTTAGAGCTGTCCTCTGAATTCCAGACACCCACTGGAAGCAGCTGCACTCTCTCCTTCCTCTTTGCCTTTCTCCAGAATCTGCCATCAAAATTCCGATTTTCTCCTTGATCTTAGTTGAGTGTCAAGAAGAAAACAACCTGATTAGCTGATTAAAGTAATTCCCACTAAGGTGCCATCACTTAGCCATCCCTGGAGCTTACTCATTAAAATGATTCTCTAATTGGTGGGACTTGTAATGGAAATGTTAAAGCGTTCATTTCTTATATATAAGTATATATTTCAAGTACAAATACATAAATATTTTAACATATATTTATATATAAAATACATAACATATATATTTGTGGTGCACCCCTCCACACCACATAAATAATAGTAAGGGATCAATAAAGAGCACCAAAATACCAAGAACAGGCCAAGTAACCCTCACACATAATCTCACAGCAACCCAGTGAAGGAAATAAGATTTCTGACTTATAGGTAAATGGAGACATAGGGATTATTTGGCTAAAGACAGCTAGAAAAAGGAAATGGATTTTAAACCCCTTAATATCAACCATTATTCTATCTCTTGAAGGTCAGTATTTTGGCACACCATTTCTGAGAAGAGTACAATTTAACTCCATTCTAATATCATAGGAGGGAGAGGAGCTGACATTTGTCCATATGTTTACCCATATATTGCTATTTATTGAGTACCCATTATATGCCTGATATTTGGCTTGAGTGCGTATGTGTAAATGAATTATAAACCTCCTTTTTGTTCCTAGGACCTCAGTATACTCATGTGTGTGTGTGTGTGTGTGTGTGTGTGTGTGTGTACGTGTGTATGGCTATGATGGAGCTCAGGACCCAGAAGAGAGATACTAAGAAAATAACTATGATATAATGTGGTAAGTGCTGACAGTAAGATAAGTACAAAGTGTGGGAGATCATGAAAGGTAAAGTGATTTTTGAAATTAAAGCAGAAAAAAGTAAAAAAAGAAAGCTGATTGATTTAAGCTCTTTAGAGACATAATTCTTTCTCCCAAATTCTAATGAATAACTCACTTCAGAATTATAGGCAGCCAGGTGGTGTTACTCTCACTTGCTAATGAATAGAACTCCCTTTGGCAATACAGAAGGTGGGAGTAAGCAAGAAAGTGTCTTCAGGTACTGAAGCTGGCTATTGATTTTCCGCAGATGCAGCCTAAGGCAGCATTTCCCAAATTTACTGATCATAAGGCAGCGTTTCCCAAATCACCCGAGGCCCTTGTTTAACAAATCATTCTCAGGCCCCACTCCAAATAGTAAATCCCGTAAGTGATTTTTACCCTTGGCGGTTGGGGAAACATTGGTCGGGAGGGCATGACATTATCTTCAGAAATGTCCTAAACAGAGCTCCTTAAGCATTTGTTATGCCATGGGTCTCTGGCTGTATGGTCACCTTTCCAGAGGAGTGTTTTGAAACGCATAAGGCAAAAAAAATACAATGGGTCACAAAGGATACAAATTATGTGGAAATGTAGTCACCAAAGTTTTAAAAACAAGTACCTCTTTAATAATTCATTAAGTAAGAAGATATAGGGGCAGGCCCACCATTCCTCTAATTTCAAAGGAGTGATGAATAGAAACAATATTTCAACATGTCTCCAACAACCATACTGTGGTTTGAAAATACACGTCTATGAGTTCCACTGGTGATCTTAAGGATTTTTTTCTGCTAGGGGTTGATGACTGCATTCATAATTAAAGAAAGTGTTTAATTCCAGCTTAGTGAAGAAAGAAGTAATTTCATTTTTTTGATGGAATCCTGAGGTTAAGAACTCCTGGTCTGAGGCAATGGATTTTCCATTGTTTTAGGGAGCTATTCAAGAGCAACGTCGGAATTTCTTCTCTAATTAGCTTCTTCATTTCATTTTTGTTTGCCACGTTTGTAGCCTTGAGAAGGGTTTGCTGTGGGGAAAGATAGGGTTAATAAATAAGGATTTTTCACTCCTTTGCTTCCCAATTTCCTCATCTTTGCAAATGGAGTTTTTTAGATTAGTGGTTCCCAAGTGTGTGAGAGGTGACAAGCTAGCTGTACGTTTTTTGGGGGTGGGACTGGGGCTGGAGGCTTATTACAATGACTTCAGATTTCTGGCCCACTGTGGGAATTCCTGTTAGGGAGGTCTGAGGTAGACCCAACAGCTAGTATTTTAAAGAAGCAGCAGCCTCCCTGCCTCCCATGAAGGTTTACCTCAGAGCAGCTCAAAATCTAGGTTTATAAGATTTCTGGAGGAGTTCATTTAATATGCAGTCTCCACAGCACATCCCCGGAGAAACCTGTCTCCAGGAAAAGGCTGGGAATTTGTGTTTGAGTCACACTTTGGAAAGGATGGTAGAATAATATCTAAACCCTTCTAGTTTTAGCAGCCTATGAATTATCAAAATCTAGAGACTGGTGAAGACTTTGTGAGAATCTCTTGCTTTTGTTCTCCAATGAGGAGTCTTCAGTTGCTATCATCTAGGGATTTTTGGAACTACAGTAAAAACCTCCCTTAAAAAACGCTGCTCTTCATTGTTGAACGCCTACCATCTTGTATGCTGAAGCTCTGCATCATTTCCAATTTTTTTATTACTAGTTATTGTCTTTGTTTGATCAGTCTTACATTCTTATATCTGATGGATGGACTGAGCAATTTCATTGAAGAGAACAGTATGTAATGTAGTAATATTCTTAATCCCTATCATATTGTTTTGAGGTCATGTATCATTTTTGTTGTTTTTGTGTTGTTTTGATTTTGTCTTCATTGTTGTTTTGTTAGTTTTTTAATCTTTAAAATAAAAAGAATGTTCATCTTTCCTGTCCTTTCCATCTGACCTTGATCTCTTTTTCTGTGGTGTGTTTTACTGAACGAGCCAAAGACCAGAACCTTGTTCTGTTTTGTTTGCCTGCATTTCCTATTGATTGTCTTTTCATGTGTTCATACTGGGGCCCAAGTACCCTTGAGTTTAGTACAGTTGCTCCTCAGCTTGTGATGGACTAAGTCCCCCAAGGTGATCGGAAGTTGAAAATGTGTTTAATATAACCAACCCACAGAATATCATGGCTTAACAACCCAGTGCACTGTGGACAGGCTGTTGTTCCCCCTTGGTATCCAGTGGCTGACTGGGAACTGCAGCTTGCTCATGAGGCCCAACATCGCATGGGAGTAGCGTACTGCGTATGGCTAGTCCAGAAAATGATCAGAATTCAAAACTTGAAGTGTCTACTGAATGCATATTGCTTTTACACCATCATAAAATTGAAAGTCATGAGAATTTCAAGCCAGTTGAAATCAGGTTTTCTTTTATTTAGAATTAAAGTGTCTAAACAGATATTTACAGATTTGTAGATATTTTTGTTGTCAAAGTACTCTCAGCTGATAGGAGTTGAAGCTAGCATCAGCCCACCATAGAAGGTGTTGCTGTCTTCTCCATTATGTTTACTTAGTTACAAGTCTTCTGACTCTCAGGACTAAGCCCATAAAATGACCCTGTGTTGGAATGACATTTATCCCAGTAAATTCCAATAGCAGCAATGTTATGTGACAATTTATTGCTAATTTCATATCTAAAGTTGGTCTGCTGATTCAGGTCTGGCCAGTTAGATTTAAATGAAATCCTTAGAGAATGCTTTCAACCCAGCCACACCAGGGAAATGTCTCTGTCTTTCTCTTTGTGTCTCTGTTTGTCTCTCTCTATATCACTTTCTCTCTTTCCCTCACTCTTGCCCCCATCCATCCTATTTTTGTATAGTACCATGATGCTGAGGGCTTTGGTAGACCAGCTTGCCAAGAATGGTGAAGAGAAAGGATAGAAAAATGTGATCCACAATGATTCTGTGGAACAGCTGGATTAACACCAGCACACCAAAAAAATCACTTACCTCCAGAATTCTGATACGTGGGAAAAATAATCCCTGTTTGGTTAAATCATAGCTAGTACAGTTTTCCAATATTTACAGTTTAAACATTTCTAATTCATACATACTAGTATCTGGAAAAAAGAATCAATTTCCCTTCAGGGAAGATGGATGTATTCAAATCAAAGTACACGGGACTATGGACCTGGTGAACAGCCCTCAAATGCTGTTCTCACGTGTGTCCTGTCTTTGTTGGGGACCTCAATCTCACCACAATCTTTGTGTTCAATCTGTATCTTTTCCTCTCAGGTATAAAGAAGAAGTTACTGGAACAAATACTCTAAGAATAGCTCTTTGCTCTTCTCCGAGACATGTAGACTTGTATGCTCATAATCCTTGGAAGGACTTAAAGTGCTCTTTTGTTTTCCATTAAGGTACCTCACATGCCCTAA